AGGAGTACTAACACTACCTTTATTGTAAGGTTACAGTAACAGAATCTTGCAAGTCTGAAAATACATCTCTCCTCTCCCCACCTTTACAGTCAAGAAACTAGGGAGGGTCCCTTCTGAGATGCTTTCTACACGCCCATTCCTTCTGCGGGCTCAGCTGCCTCTTATCTAACTGTGGCCTAGTCTTCGGCTCTCCTCCTCCTCCTCCTCCTCCTCCTCTTCCTCCTCCTCCTCCTGTCTCTCAAGGACATTCTCACAGACCTCATCCACTTTGGCATTAATCAATTAATTAATTCATTCATTTTGAAAGCTCTCTTTTGTTTCATAAAGAGCAGAGATCCCTTGAGAGAAGGGAGAAAAGAAACAAAAGAGAGGGGTCACTATCCTCTCCTGTACTCAGCAAAAGTCCTGTGGTTTGAATCGGTTGAATGGGAGACATCCTTGCAGACTCTGGGGAATGATAACCTTGCAGGGTGGTGGCTGATTTTACAACCTATCAGGGTTACAGCATTAATAACTCTATTCTATAATCCTATGAAAAGCTTTAGCAGATGCATTTGTGAATTTATTCATAAGCCTCAAGAGAAGGGGGCAGGGTGTCAGGGTCCCTCTGCCATTACAATCTAAGTGACAAGCAGAGAAGCATCGCTTGCTGAATTTCTACATGTGTAGCTGTAGAGACAGAAGGGCTCTGATCCTTCAAATTGCCCAAAGCCTTACAATGAGAGCTGGTGTCGCTTAAGTTCTCCTTTGCTGAATTATTTTCATCTCTCTAATTTGTTGTCTGTTCCTCATTGGGATATAATTTAAGAGCAAGAGTGCCTGAGATGTTTATACTGAAACCAAATTATTATTCTTAATATGACTGAAAGGGGAAATGCTTAAATCAACAGGGAGCCTCTTTTTAATGGGACTAAATGTCATGGAAATGTCAGTTACATGAAGATGCTAACTTGGCCTGACCTACTTTGAGAAGGCAATCCTCTCTATGCTACACCACGTTCATTCTGATTTGATTGCATGCAAAGCTTCCATCTCTTCTCTGGGAACAGGAGTTAGCACCGTCACCCTGGCTGCAGGACACAGGTCAGCCCTAGGAGATGGGGTCACTTCGGCAACCTTCAAGGTCCTGCTTGTTTAAGCCAAACAAGACATGAGCCTCCCATTGGGCCAAAGACTCACCTTTCTGGGGTATTTATATGGAGCTGTGATTTTCTTCACGTGTCCTTGCAACTCCAAAATTAATTTCTCTGTGTCATGCGACTGGTAGGCAGGAGTTAGGATGACAAAAGCTTTCACAACCTATAGGCAAATGAGAGCAAAGGTTTAACTAACAATGGCTTCTATGTATGTGAAAGGTTAGCTTTCTGGTGCTATGGGAATACTGGATGATGATGATGATGATGATGATGATGATGATGATGATATCACAAAATACAAAGACTTCTGAATAGAAATAAAATGACTATAGCAAAAGGAAGCAAAGATAGTACCAATAGTAATAGGTATCTTGGGCGGAATCCCAAAACATCTGGAGCACCTCTTGAAGACCATTGGCGTTGACAAAATCACCATCAGTCAACTGCAAAAGGCAGCTTTACCTGGATCAGCTTCCATCCTGCACCGATACCTTTAACACCACCAAACAATGTCTGTCTATCCCAGGTCCTTGGGAAGGACTCGATAGGTGGATAAAAATGCCAAATCCAGTCTAAACATCTGGCTGATTGTGCGACCAACTATAATAACAATAAATTAAACTTGCCAATAGAAGAGAATATATGTAGCTCAGGGTTGAACTGTGGAGTCCTTGGGGTTCTCTGAGCTTGGTTGTT